CGCACATAAAGAAAAAAAAAAGAAGGATATACAACTGAATCGAGAATGGCAGCAGTAGTATTGGGATTAAAAAAAACAGAGAGAGAGAGAGAGAGAGAGAGAAGAAAAAAATGTTCATACGCATATACATGAATACCTGTCTCTCTCGTTCGATTGATAGCGATAACAAAGTAAATCGATAGAAAGAAGAAAAGTAACAACAACCTTCGATTTTGACCAAATGTCAAATAAAGAGATATCCTCTTCTTCTTCTTTTTTTTTTCTCCAATCGACTAGTGATGACGCTCACACATACATTTGCATCTATGTGTTACGAAACGAATGTAAACACGAAATGCAACGAAGAGGATATATCACTTTCTGATGAGTACGAAATTTGATCTATCGAATGATAACGGACTGACGAGTAATTTCTTCGATGTTCCTTCTTCTCTCTCTCTCGTTTTTTTTTACCATAAAAGAAAAAAAAGAAAAACAGAAGAGATCTCTAATCACTGATAATAATGGACGATACTCTATTTCTCTCGCATTTTTTATGATGATTATAGGTCAACTGCATGTCAACATCATAGTGCTTCAGTCTGCCTTCAGTTTTTTTTTTTTTGTCAAACAGATCATTCACTTTCTTTCTATTTCTATATATTTTTTTCTTCCTTATATTGAGATATACGACATTAGCGTAGGCGCAGTGCGTAAATATCGAACGACAATGTTCATTAATTTAGTGTCAAAAAAAAAAAAGAAGAGAAAGATAGAGACATATACCGAAATGTGTTCCTCTCTCCACCAATGTCCATATTTGTTACTGATCGCACGACTCACCTTTTTTTCGTTCTCTAATTAATTGTATGTATACATAGTATCCTTCTCGATAGTAGTAATACACTTGATGTTTGTATATGCATCGCACATGTTGGATTGTAAAAAAAAAAAAAATAGTAAAACGAAACTCTCTTTTCTTCTTCTGTCTGCATCTCTAGTCAGTCGCTATAGCAAACAATTTCAATTCAGTTACTCTCTATTCTGCCAACTGTCAATACTATCAACAAGAAGGCGATGCAGAAGCAAGAAATATATGGATATTGAAAGTTTTTTTGTTCGTTTCTCTCTTTCTCTATCGACACTTTTTTTCATCCGACCAACAAACAGCAACACTCTCGGCTTTTTTTACATTACATACCATTCCACTAACAACACCAGTTTAAACAAAAGAAAAAGTGAAATGCATATAAAGAAAGAAATTCTCTTTTTATACGTTGTCAATCGTCTATAATATATATATATATATAGTCGATATTCCGGAGTTTGCCTTCTAGGCAATGTTGATTCTGAAAAAATGTATCTATAATTAAGCGAACAAGTAAATGCACAAGATGAAAGTGATATTATTATTTAATGCAAGTGCTACCAAACAGCAGATGATCATAAAAAGTGAATGAAGGATCATATTAATATATATACGTATGCGTTCTACTCGATATATAATCTGAAATAGGTGTGATAGGTGTTCAATAAAAAATAAAGATGCCTTCAAGGCATACATCGCGTCAGAGAAAAAGACGTAGAAGATGATAATGCGAACAAAGCATAAAATAGTTCTTTCTCTCTTCGTCGGCTAATATTTGACTCGCCTCTCGCTCATTTCTTTTTTTTTTTATTGCAACACTATCACCTGCAATACGACACACGGAAAAATGAGAGAAAGGAGCCACTTTATTATGAACGATGTTTACAATGGTATGCCATGTTCGAGAGAGAAGACTTGTAAGAAAATGGAGACAACATCAAGAAAGTCGGGATAATCGATCCGTCAATGAACTTTTCTAATATATAGAGAAAAGAAGAAATGATTTCACAACCTATTTATAGAGTCATTTTGGTTATATTTTTAAATTTTAGTGCAACAATCAAAAGGTAAAAAAAGAAGAAGAAGAAAAAGAAATTGTCTATTGATATATATATATATAGAGAGAGAGAGAGAAAAAGAAAACAAATGAAGTTACCGTTCGTAGATAAATAAAATTTTGCATATAAGTATGGTTTATGTATTTGCAAACGATGATTAATCATATTGATATATGAAGCCTATTTATTCAATAAGTTCTTATGTTACTGCAGATAAAAAAAAATAGTTTCAATTGAATCATTTTGATGGACTCAAACTTTTTGATATTTTTATTGTAAATTTCTAATTAATGCATTATCATAAATAGATGCTCAAAATAGGAAAAATTATGAGAATATGTTTAATTCTACGTCTTTTAAGAGATGATTGAATTTATAAAAATGACTATTCTAAGAATTAGATAAATCAATGATGCGTAAAATTTGCACGAGACTTTATTTGAAGATAATTTTGTTTAGTAAAATTCTCGAATTCATTATTATAATTTTTTGTATTATAGACATTAATCCTGTCAGTAAATTTCTCTAAGATCCTATTGTCAATTACTTTATTGTTTAATATATTTGACTAGTTATATTTACTAGTATGATATTATTGAGTATTTTCGGTGCAATTATTTCATCGTGACCTGCTCATTATCAACGTTCGATCAAACTTTTATTGTCAATATTATTTAGTCAGAGTATTTTATCGATTGACTACTGTGCTATTTCTTGTTTTAGAAATCATTTTTTTATTTACTCTTATTCGTTCAAACGCAAATGATAATCCAATAACTAATAACAAAATAAATTAATCAATCTATTGGACAAATCTACATTGATGGACTGAAAATAGTATATTCATAGCAAGATACGATCATATACATTTTTATGATAACGAATAAATAATTAGATATTTTGTATTCTTATCTAATATCTGATTTAAGAAGAACATTGAACCTTTGGTATTATGAATAAGGATATCTTTGTTTCTTGCTTTCAATCTTATCTAGATGATGTACTTGATTTGAATATTGCATCGTAATATTAATGTTTGATATGTTACCTTAAATAAATATCAACTTTAACAGACTTAATATCATTCAGTTATAGCTTTTGTTCTACTTATTAGTGTAAATATGACTATAATGCATTTGAATCCACTCAAATGATCATTAGCATTTTTTTTTTTGACATTGAAATAACACATGAAAGATTATAATGGAATAAATTTTCTTGTTCGAAATTTTATTTATTTAAATCATTGTCTTGTACAGAGAATACAAGAGAATTATTTCATTATATTAAATTCAATCAATTTAAAATTGACTTATGAAAAAAATCTATCATTATGTATACTCATGTCGTAATAGTATAAGTCGATTTGGGCTTCTATATAAACAATTTGATTAAAAAGTTTATAAAGAAAAATTGATATTGAAATTATAAGAAACTTGTAACACAATTAAAATACAGTAAAAAAAAAATCATATTAATAAGCAATATATCTTTATGAAATATTTTTAATAAGTAATTCATGACTCATTAACAACTAATATCATTTTTCGCATGCAACATAACTACTTATTATTGCACTATTACTAGAATGACGAAGTTATCTGAATGTATAGCTTTGATGAAATAATTTATCTTAGTCGTTTTTTTATATCATGATTTCATGTGAAATTGATACTTTAACTTTAAGAATGTAGCCAGAAAAAAGTTATGCGAGAGTTCAATCATCCACCGACCATATCTACAGTTGGAGGCAGTGTCCAGTTGTTAGTATTTCTAGAAAGAGTTCAAACTCCTCTTTTAAGAAGAACTCAATAATCCGTAGGTGAGGAGAAAAGCTCAGGTCATGTCTCATTACACTACTATAGAAATAATTGTTTACATATAATTTTGAATCGTATTAACTGTCATCCACATGCTATATTGACTCAAGGACACAACAATGATCCAAGTGAAAAATGATATAAAAAATGGATGCAATATATCAAATCATAAATCTTTCTATATTATGCTCTTTCCTGCGCAACTCAAGCAGAAAACGACTCTTCATCTTAAATATGTTACAACGATAGCTATTATCTTGTACAATATTATTTAAGACTGATTAAGTAATATATTATTTGAAATAGAAAAAATATAAAACTACGGTCGTCGACGGAAGTGATCTATAGGCAAACATCATTTTAATTTTGTCTTAACTCCCGTTCACGTAACATCTAACATTTCTTCTATTTATTTCATGAATCATTTTTTACTTAATGAACCAATTTTTTCTACGTATCAAGAAAAATGAGGTGTCATAATCATACTCGTTGATTGAAATGACACAAAAAGATTTTCATATACTTTGTATTTTACTTTCTAGTTTTTACTAGTTATTTGTATACTGATCAATTAAATTTAAACTTTTAAGAACTATTTATATTGAAATATTGTTGTAAAGAATATTTCCTGTTATCAATCTTTTGTTAACACTTTCAATTTCTGAAAGCTATTATCAAATATTCAAAAGCATTCAAAATGAACTGATTTTAATCTTATGCATCAATGTTAGACACTTTAGAACGCATCAACCATCGTAAAATTTTACATATTGATGATTTGAATTGTATATTTACAAAAAATTTATTTTCTTCGATTATTGTGACATAATCAATATAAAACAGATGAATTCTTAATTGATTGTGATACATAATTTATTCTAATTTTCATATAATCCTTGAATGACTTCATTTTACCCATTGAGTTTATACTATACAAACTAATTTTTTTTGTGTAATTCTGTCTGTTGAGTTTGCTTGGGTGAAAAACAAATAATGATTAATAGGTGGGAGTGATCGATAAATCGAAGATAATTGGTGTCTATCTTTCCGCCGGCGACAAACATTTAGTGTCTGTTGATCAAATGCGTGATGACACATTTCCTATACGTGTGTGTACGACTGTTTACCATCGGCTCACCTGTATTCGAACATGGCTCGCATAAACATACATATTCATTTAATCACTTTCATTATGAGAACATGTATTGTAACATATGTAAAAATGATGCAATGTTTTCCATAGTATCTATACTATCATTTACTTTTTTCCAATTTATGAAAGTTTCATCAGAATGTGAATCGAATGTAACATTATGGACTTATTATCCTTGTTCATTTATTATTTCTTCAACATCAATTAATTGTCAGTATGTATCAATTAATTCATCAATTGATCAATGTATAAATACTGAAATGACTTTTTTTTGGCATTTTCCATTTGGTAATATGACATTAACACTTCTATCACATAAGAATCAACCATTTTTATTACGTTTATCTAAACCATTATTATCAACAAACAAATTAATTAAAAATATTTATCATCTTGTACATAATAGAACATTAGAAGAACGAATAATATACAATAATGCAAATACAATGGTTACGCTTTATTCAGATAAATATAATCAATGTTCGATAAAATTTGAAACAATGAACACAAATATTTTCGATTATGGAACATTTATTCAAATGAAAGTGTTCACTGATGAGAATGACAATCTTTAAAATTGTGTAAGAGATTATTGTTTTTTCTTTGAACAGTATAAAGAAAGAATAAACTAATGATTTAAAAGCTTTATAGAAGTACTATGAAGTTGATTGTTGAGTTGACTCAGTAATTTCACTTTATGAAATAATTCAATCACGGATGATGATGATAAATGCCATCAAAAATGTAAGCATCTAACAAAAATATTGTAAGCAATATATAATAAAATAGATTTAACATCGTTTTATATGTTTTTATTTATAAAAATTCTAACTGAGAATTTCGAAATTGTTTTAGTTCTAATCTTTATCTATAATTGATGAATTTTACCAATCAGTTAAAAGACAACGTTTCATATTTCTAGTGGTCAAAGAAAAAATTACGAAATATAATTTATTTCTTCGAACTGTAATAATAGTTCATTTTTCAAAATTTTCGTGCATAAAAATATGAAGACTTCATTCATTGTCTAACAGAAAATAAAATTGGCTGTTAATGTATGACAATCGAGTTTCGACAATTACATATTCATACTCTAGACTGACCAGCTATTTGTATCGACTCTTATTGTCGATGTTCATAATAAACAACGTAGAAAAAAGACGTAATAAATAATATAGAAAAAAATCTAGTCTATGGAGACTTTATTATATGCTTGAGAGTTCGACGACTTCTGATGCTCTTTTGGAAAGAGCTTCAAATCTTCCAAGTCTGTCAACATTATGAATTGTTCGTAAAAACAATACAAATATGAATCGATTCATTGAAAATTAAAACAAAATATTATCTTTGTATTCGGAAAATAAAATATTAATGTGATGATAGAATAATATGAATCGATCTTCAAGCTCGAGAAAGAAAAAACCAAGAGAACATACGTAAGATGAAAAATATGAACGTAGTTTCACTTTGATTCGAATTTTAATTACAGAACAATATTTATATATAAAGATCTTCATTTTGAAAAGTTGCGAAGAACTAGAATATGATCGATGTAACACGAACGAAGTGATAAAACGATTCAGAATGTGACAATAAACATATAATAGTGAAGTCAATTAGAACAATCAGAAGAAACAGCGATAAAAAAATCAACGAAAATAGTACATATAAAAGATAGAGTCTGTGATGCGATAAAGTAATGAGGTTCTTTTCGTGTTGTATCTTGAACAATAGATGACGAGAAAAGTCTATTCTACTGTTGACTTAGGACCGTTTCTATTCAGGTTTTATCGGAAAGCAAATATAAATCGTTGGACTTAAGGGAAAACGTTCTCTAAGCAAGAGCTCACACAATTTACTATAAATTTATACATAAAACCTAAGCTACGGATTTATTTGTTTCTTGATCAGTTTCTATTAGTATTAGTTGTTAACTAATTTTTTAAACTCTACCCTACACACTTCGAATAGTTCTAGCTCTGGTCCACATCACACTCCCATTGTTTGTTAAATTTTACTCTTTTCACAAATAAAAGCAGTTAAATAGCTGTTTCTTCTGGAAGACAACGACACCATGACGAAGAATTGAAGAGAAAATATGTGCATCACTCAAAGCTTTCTCTATCTTTGAATGATTTATACAGCACTAAAGTTGCACTGTATCCTTGACAAATGATTAGCGAGTCTACGGTGTTCAGCTTGAAGTTTTCAAATGAATAAAATATTTTCAAACATTTGCCAATGTTGCGTCCAAAATGTTAAATGAGTTCTTTAAGAACCACATCCAAACAATGGAATAAATATTGAACAGAAGAAGCATTACAAAAAAAAATCATTCTTAACTTCTTCGTTACTCTTTTTCTATCATATTTTCACTCACGACATAAAAAAATATCTTTTTTTCGAACTTGAGGAATCAGAAAAAATGTTTTTACGTCCGAAGGTTTTACTAAACGAGTTTCTATTCGTATTTTCTATCTGTTATTACTGAATAATTGATCGAGCATAACATCATCAAGAACGATCTACAACCATGAAATGGTCTCCTCAAACAAGACACCATCACGCTTTATTCAATAGTTTAATGATATGTTTCATAAATTTTGCATAAATCAGTAACACGTCTCAGAGGTGTTTGATCAAGCGCAAATTGTGCTGATCGTAGTTGCACCGAAAAGTTGAAAATTTTTTTATTGATAACTACGATTGTTGTGATAGAACCTTTTTTCCGTCTCATTTCTGTTCGTGTTATCGATGCTGATGATAATGGTTTGTTTCAATAACATAATTGAAAATAGTTGAATAAGCGACAAAATGGAAGGCACTACTATATGTTGCTCTAAAGGAATACTAGCATACTATATCGTCGGTAAAAAGTATCCCAAATGCCGTGGAATAATAGCTTAGATTCTTTGTAATTCTACAGTTCTTCTGGTTTTCATGTATTGCACGAGGTCTCTAAAATTCTTCGATAACTGAATAAATGAATGTATGAATCAAAGTCTAGTTACTGTTGAAGTGATAGTTTCTGAGAAAAACACTATCTTATTATTTACATACTCTCACATTACAAACTTCATGGTGAAATTTTCTTCGAACTCTATACGGGGTTCTGCTGGGGAACAATCAATCGTCGTATTCAAGTTTCGTATTCTTTGAATGGAACCTTTGTTTGAACTAGTGATTAAAATTGCTGAAACTCTATATGTAGACAGCATGATAATACAAAATAGTCTATTTCTGATGCTGTTCACAGAGTAGCAGATTTTTCTTTCGTTTTGAATGTATAGAAAAATATTGAATGAGATTCAAAACACAAAACTTTACACAGATCAAGATTCATGGCAATATCCAAAATGCCATCGTTGCCAGAAATAAATGGTTTTCACTCGTCGATCTTCGAATCGAGGTTTATTTTCTATAATTATTAAAACAACTTTCTTATATAACTAGAATTGACCTATATAGCATATTTGAGCAATATCCTAATGAGCTCCATGATCGTCAAAGTCGGCATTGAATTGCTGAAGATGAGGTAAATATGTTTTGATGATTGCTTACCATTGAGTACTATAGTTGACTGGATTCCAACTGATTTTCTTCCATTGAATAAGAAGTCGTCATAAAAAAGTGAATAGGGCCAGTAAAAGTTTTAGATTGGTTGATCGATTGCAATGGCCGAGATCAAGTTGATAGATATGTTCGAAAGCATATTCCAAATGCGATAACTCTTCTCATGGGCAAACAAATTTTTTCATGTGTAGCTTTCGAAGATTAGATGTACTTATTTGAAGAGATCGAGTAGTATGCGATCGGTATTCATCAATAATATTGAAGCAAACCACGAAGATGATAAAAAAAAGTTGAAACAATAGTAAGTGCAGCCCTATAGACGTGAAAGTCTAACAAAAACTTTATCTTTAAACTGAAATAGTGATCATAATCACGACGTATAAAGCTAGCACAAACATCACAATAGGAACCATTGTTGTTCCAACAACGACCGATATTCAAAGACTTAATTTGATCGTTATTTTTCGAACGTTCAATTAGATCTTTGATAAAATCTGATTCCACTGCAAGAAAGGGAAGTGAACGAAGATGCAAAAAAGTAGTGGGAAAACGGTGAAATCTTCGAAAACATTCGTATAAACTAATAGTGAACGAGTCTGAGAGCACTTCAAGAAATATGCATGTAGGTGAGTGAGTGTGACTAAAGTTGTAGCTATGGTTTGCGGGTGTGAGTAAAGGTAGACGCACATCCGACTAGCACATCCTATACATTTCTCAAACGATGATACCTCATTGAATCCACAATTTTCGGACTCGGGCTTTATTAATGGAATATTTTCAGACTAATACTCGATTGAAAGACACATTTCAGACCCACACTTAGTTACGTTCGCGTCCTGGACAAATCTGAAGAGCTCCATTTACCATAGCCATCATATAATCAACCGATTAAGTTTTAGCATTAGGAGAATGATCAATATGAATTGCTTTGAACTTATTAAGATATATATTAATGTAGAAGCCGAACGGAAGCAAAAAGTCTTCATCTACTTAATTTGATTTTGGTTTGCAAATAAGACGGATTTGACAATTCAATGAGTGCATCAATGCAGTCTTCGCAACATTGAGCAAAGACATCTGTGAGAAAAAGAGCATTGTAATGTCATCTTTTTTCAGTACATAAAAAAAATCACACATGAACGAAAAAAAGCTTATTATTGAAAAATAAATCCATATTAACAGGTTTACTGATGATCTTTACAAGTTTATTCGGAAGTCATCACTTTCATTTATGACTACACCTACTTTCCTTCTGTACTTTCTGATTAGTCAACTAACCTAAAGAGAGGCATGAAGAAAATGGTTACAAATGATCAGTATATATTTAGACATAGTATGAAATGGATTCATAAGAATAAATAATCATCCTTCATTCGTGTATTTTTCTTGTCGATTTATTGTTACTATTCCCACATGGTTGGCTACATTCTTAATCTGCTATATTCTAGATTACAATATCAAGAAGTTTGCTATTTTTTTGTTGTGATGGTAGCAAAAAATTAGCCAAAGGCAACAACAAAATGAAAAACTTGAACAAACCGAAAGCAAACGTTGAGAAAACATGAATCGCATAAAAAATTTTTATTTTTTTTTATTATGAATTGTTCATATACGATCATATGATAGTCGGTCAAGCCGTGTTCGATTACAACCACCAAAATCTATTCAAAATTTAAAAAAATCAATTTGAAAGCTCATCGGCAAAAATAAAGTCGTATTCATCTTCGTATATTTGTCACATTCATTTGCTAAATTCTTTTTGTAATAATGGCGTTCTATTCCACATTTAGAATAAAAATTGAACAATAAATCCTCAGAACATAACTCATCTACTTGACTGTCCTTCTTATGAAGGTCAATTCGAGATCGAACGTTGTTCTTGATAATCTCATGCTCGGTTAATCATTGAGCAATAATATATAGAACTCCGAATAGAATTTCATTTGGCAAAATCTTTACAGGTAAAAAAATTCTTGTTGTCGCTTCGATTCGAAAAAAATATTCTCTTTGTCGCGAGGGAAGATATCATAGGAAATGCATAAAGAATAAGATGAGAATAATTGTTTAGTAATGCGTCTTCTGTTCAATATTCATCGCACTGCTTTTACGTGATTCTGAGAGGGTTCGTTTAACATTTTGGATGCAACACTGGCAAGTTTTTGAAAATATTTTGTTTATTTTAAAAGCTCAAACTGAACACCGTATACTTGCTAATCTTTTATCAATGCCTATTTAGTGCCTTATGAATCATTACAAGGTAGAGAAAGCTTTGATTGATGTAGATGATTTGTTTTTGGTACTTTTTTTGCATGGAGTCAATATCCTTCCAGAAGAGACACCTAATTATTTGCTTTCATATGAGCAAAAACAATTGCATAAGAAATGGAAGTGTCGAGGTAGATGTGATTCTTCTTTGTCTTCACCGCTACCCATACTCCCTTCTCTTATAAGGATCTATTTAGAGTGTTTCATTTCTATTAATTTTATGAATTCAATCATAAGCTTTTAAATCAATATCAGCATCTTTCGTTGAGTGTATTTGAAATGGGTACTGTATAATATTCATCGAATAACATTTTATTTGGGATTTGTAAAAATATCGCGGCCGTTAATTCATTTCTCATATTTTAGTGTTGTTTTATATGATTGTTCAAACGTATTCAAGCTGATATCAATAGTCAATGGTGTTCTGTAAATTATTGGATAAAGAAAAATAATCAAAAGAACAAGGCGAATACTTCACCGAATTCATTTATTATGAGAATCATTGGATATTTATACTTTTTAATAAGCATCTTTAGCCATTTCGAAAATATTCATTTGTCTATCAACTAATGAATTTGGATGTAATCAAGGAAAGATTATTAAAATTTTCTAAATTAAAAATTAATCGATTTTTTTTCATATATAGAGAACAGAGTTCAAGTCAATCATGAAGAAAAAAGTATGATAATGTCTTTAAAGCGTAACTATTTTTATTCTTTTGTCTTGTCATTCTATTTCTATCATCTTTATTCTTTATTAATTTAATAACAAGGTCAAATGCCTTTTAAGAGTTAAAATACATCCAATTGACATCAAACCAAAAGAAGAGGATCAAGCTAAACAATTACAAACATAGTTATACGAGATATTATTATTGCACGTAGTGCCTATAAAAAGTTTGTGAACGATCTATGCATTAGCTTTTCTCTAAAGTTTAATTGTTTGTCTATAGGCTTGATTATGATAATTATATGAAGAATCGACTAGATTTGTTTGTGCTTTACTTGTTTCATTTGATAAATCGTCTTCGCCTCTATCATGTTGTAACCATTGACACACAATAATTGAAAAAAGGAACCCGAGTAACACAACAAGAGCTACGCATAGAACAGCAAGTGCAATGATAATACGTTGTTTTGATGATTCACTTAAATAAATTTGATTATAATTCTGTTGACTTCCATTGTCTATAGGATCAGTAACTGTACGACTTGGTATAGTTAATGAAACACGTCCAATTAATTGTTCGTCAGCTTCATCTGCAGTTGTTGATATAGGAACTGTTGTTGATTCTTCATATTCGTCTTGTGACCGAACAAAATAAACAACTACAACAATATACATAAAGAAAAAAAAAGTTGTTGTAATGAACCGTGTCTCTTCAATTTTTGTAGGAGTTTAACTAAGAAAAGTGTCATTCAAATCATAAAATCTTACTTCTGTGTATAACAGTGATGCAGAAAAGAAGATGCCACCAAAGCATTCTTTTAGAATACCCGTTAACAAATGATCAATAGACGTGTATATATATTTGTTAGTATATGTTGAATCGAACGATATATTGTTGTTGTCTTCTTTTTCCTTCTTTTTTTCTCACACTGCTGAGAAAAACAAATTCAAGCCCTAATATGAGATTAAAAGACGATGATATCGATGACCATTACCGAAAAATGTACAGAAATACATTTACACTTGATTAATATCTTCATCTTACCATGTACATAAACATAATCATAACAAGTATTCTCTTTATCTGTATTTGATGTCTCTTTGCTCTTTCGTTCTTTTTATGCCGTTGATATTTGATCGTATGATTCCAAAAGTGATATTACAGATAATGATGCATACAATAACAGAAAAAAAATATGAAATGAGTATAAAATTATGTATTCATCGACTTTTTTTTTTTATGTGAAAATGTTTTTTTTTCCATGATGATCTTTCACAAATCGATATCAATGTAGAAGATGGTCTTTTTCTCATAAGTATTACGGACTGAAGACATATTTTTGCATATTTCACAACGTTATTCAAAAAAAAAAATATTCAGAAAAAAATTGTTGTGCATTTAAAACATATGATGTATGAAAAAATATGGATGCTGAGAAGATTTTTTTCTCATTTTTGATCTTATCTATTCGAGATTAATTAGAAATCTTGATTATATAATACACTTAAATTCTTGAACCATATGAAATAGAGATTTGTGAACCGCCGATTTATGTTGTCTCGTTACGAAGAGAAACAAGATTTTCAACAGTGAGGTGAGTATGAGATGATGCGAGATTTGACGATTCGTGCCGTTTGCTTACAATGCAATTTTTGTTTAATATAGATGCTAATGCTCTAACGACATTTATCAATTTTCTTGCAGATATTTTTTATGTATTAGTATTGTAACCAAAGACAACAATACATATATATATATATAAATACATGTATTTCGGTTTAGTGTACTATTTTTATTTCTATAATTGGCATGGCACACTGATCTTTCTCTGAGATTCACTTAAATAATATACGATTTAAATTTAATTCTAGATAAGTAGCATGTGTACACAAAAATCGTATATTCCTCTCTCGGCTTTTGTCGATCTAACACAAGAGATTTGTTGTATTCTTCATAATGATTATCGTAGATCATTCAATATTTCTGAAATGACCTGCAATAAGATTCAAAATTTATTTACTGATGTGTAACTAAACCCTTGCAAAGGCGGTGGCAAAACGGTTTGTATGCTGCTTCGCAATTCTCGAATATGAAATAATGTTATAAATCATCTGTGTTTAAAATAAGAAATTAGCGAATCCAGCTACTTCTTGAATATATCTGTCAAAAATGCATACAATTTTCATTCTAGACATAAGTGTATCGGACGTTCGAAAATTTTTACTCCAATAAAAATGTTTCCAATTGTTTTGAGTATATTTTCTATTTATGTAAAACAATAAAATGATATACAAGCAGATGTCATTTACTTCAACTGCAAATGATGTGTGATAGTCAATTCGGATACGTAACCAGTTTCATGCGTTTGATTTTTCTTTTTTGCATTTGCTGTATCATACACAATGTTTTCTCATCTATGAACCAAAAGCTGAAATTCAAAAATTGTTTAGGTTGTAGGTGTGACTCCTTATATCACCCACATATCTTCAAAAGATATCTAACGCTCTGTTCCTTCATCTCAAAATGATTTTGATTTTCCTCTAAACAGTCTTGCCCTGTGACGGGATCGAGCATCCGACACTCGTTGCCGCCCGAATCATGAGTTCAAATGCACACTGATAGGATCAGTTCGGATTTCGGGTATGATCTTATGCTCGAACTTAACCTGACAATTAATACCATTTCGACATTGTAAAAATGATTTATTTTTCCAAACTGCTAATTTTATATAAATCTCAAAAATGAAAACCGATTCTATCATGGTTGAGCAATGTGCTTCACTTGAGAATAGATCACAAGAGTACTTAGAGAGGAAAATGAATTATCGAAAATGTGAGCACATATTATTGTGATGGAAAAAACATTCATATATGTATTTACAATGATAATGTTTGGCAAAAACACTGTGTTCCATTCCAGCGTCATTAGCAACAAGCAAACGTATGCTTAGCGAAATCGATCGAATTCCAGAAGCAGAAAAGACATGAAATGAGTTCTGAATCACTTGTCTTTTTGTAGAATTTGACATGATCTCCTTTTTTGTTGCTGTTTATCAAGAAAACTAAATAGTATACTTTTTTATTTAAAATACAAGTTTGACAACCTCACTATGAACTGTGAGAGTATTTGCTGGATGTCGATTATCTCAGATCGAATACTAGGTACAACTATCCAGATCCAGTTTGGATTCGAATGTAAAAAAAAGAGCTCGGCCGGGTCCGGTTGCAAATACTCTTATCCGTCGAAACACGAATAAATAAATCAATGAATGACAAAGTAATAAAGATTATTCACAGATTTGAAAGTATTCTAATAATAAAAAATGAAAAGAAAAGGCAGAAGACAGGTATATTTTAATTAATCAAGTATGAATATACCGTTAAAAAATAAAGAAGATTCATTGATATGTACTCTTTTATCTTCATGCAGGTAAAGCTAATACATATAGAAGTATAATCATCATAAAAAAATTGTACTCGATTTATATTTTTTAATCTTATTCATTCATCAAAGCACTCCACATGTTTAGTTTAATTCTACATTGAGAAGAAAATTGTTAACTCAATCAATAAGCAGTTTAATAATCATTTGTCGCTGCAAATGAAAAAACTTATTTTTAAGATAGTTTCAAGTTTTCGATAAAGTAAGTTATTTTATCAGTTGAAAACAAATATTTCTATAAGTTTTATTCAATATTGACTTAGTTATAAAAACAATACGTTATTCTTTTGAATTTGAATGACATGTTTCAGCTTCAATAATCTTTTTTTTTCAACAACAGTAACTTTGCAAGCTTAAAAATCTTAATAGGTATTTTCAGTTCTATATGATGACACGGCACAAATCAATTGTATTTTTTAGTTAGTTTCATCAAGATAGATTACGTTACATTTATTTTTCTTTTAATACTTGTCGATCAATGTTTTTTTTGCTTATCTATAGTTATTTTACTCTACGCCTATGATAAATCCTAAACACACATAGTATTGATCACACTTAATTTATGCTTAAAGTCATTGAAGCCAAAGTACATAAAAGAGTGGATGGAAATAACATGAAACATGTGCGTATTCTTACAGAGCTAAAGTAATATTGTATGTAGACATGTTGAAATACATAGGACTGGTTTCCTGCGTCATCAACATTTTTGGTTACGATCATGGTCACAAAGAATCACAAAGAAAAGTAGCGCTTAACCATCTTTAGAGAAAAAATGTTCATGATAATACTAGGGTGAATCTGCTATCTATGTGAGATAAAGATTGAAATCGAGTCGAGTCCGAACGTAAATGTTGTTGAAACAAATTAAATCGCAATAGAAATGTTTATTTTTGAGGCTGTCGAATCGTATCAAGATTTTTTTAATGAGGCTGAATGAGATCGAGATTTTCTCATTTTAGATCTTTGATTTGGTTAAGTCCAATTAAACACAATCAACATGCAAAGAACAAGATAGTGGAAGTCATTTATAAGTAGTGTTCAGTAGTATTTCTTCTGACAAGTATGCAAAATAAATTAACACTTTCCTTCTAATACATGAAAACTAGTTTAAATTTAATAAAAAAAACCTATCTTAACTATATATAGAACACGATCTATGAAACGAAAGCCATACTTATGTTTATTGAAATGATAGGAACCCTGTTTTAGTTTTTATGCCGTGAAAGTTAATTAAACATCGTTTGTGTACACTGCCCATGAAAACAAGATGTACATGTACATTTTGCTTATATAAACGAAGCTTATATTTACATGTTATTTTAGATCTCCATTAGAAACACTGGTCACGAAATTCACTACATAGGATAGAACAAGACAATACAAATATGTCATCAGATGGAAGACTCTCACGCCATGTTGATACTCGAGAGTCGAACATGGTAGCTACTCTTCCATGATCTTACAATTAATGCATTTCTCTAATAAATAAGCATTTAGAAATGTTTTATTATAAATGAGAAGTCAGTTTTGTTTTCACTTCATCTTCAATAAATAAATAAAAGAATCTTGCAAAAAAAAACAAAATAATCTGTGATGCCTATCGAGCAATTTTTAGATTTACACAAGAGAAAGTTTTGACATTATCGGAAGTGATCCTCCTGAAATCTTTGTTATTCCGAAAAATTCTATGGTTTCGAAGATAAACAAAATCTCGTTAATTTTCTTTTTGATAAATTTGAACACATCTGTTTATTAAGACAAATAAAACGACTAAAATTAGACCAAATAATAACTTTGGTAGAAGGACATACAGGAGACAAATAATTCACGATCAATCGATTTTGTATTCAAGAAAAAAACAAGAGTGGAATAAATATTACGACAAGACTGAATGAAATACGACGAAAATGAGAGAATAAGTATAGTATGCATTTCGAATGAGTCTTAATACTTCATTTTTGTCAATAAATGAATAAGATATAATTGTGGCACACCGTTTTAAGTAGAGAACGTAAATATTTCATTTTTTCTCTTTTTTTCTACCCGTTTTCTTGCTTTAAACTATACTGATCCTTATCATCTGTTTTTTTTTCACATTATAAATATTTACGTTGCTTTACATCTAACTTTTTTTTCTTAGTTTTGGCTGCAAAAATAAGATTGAATCAAAATGCTACTTCTAATACTTGTTGCCATTATATCGTTAAACACAGATGTTATTGCTGTCACACGAGATGGTCGATGTCCTCAACCACAATTTGTGTCCAGTGGTTTACCATGCTCAACTGAAGGAGAAGATGATGTTTGTCCATGGAACTATAAATGTTGTCCATTGACAGATGGTATGAAATGTTTTGGTCCATGTCCTAATTTTACTGAGCCATGTAACCTTGAATGTCCATTTGGTTTAAAAGTTGATCCATCACCATGTACTGTTTGTGAATGCGCACCAGATCCATGTCTTTCAGCATCATGTCCTCTAGGAACAAAATGTATTACACAAGAATATGAACCATGTGCTATCAAAGGTAGATGTGGTTTCAAAACTGAATGTGTCATCGATCCATCAATTCATGTTGATCCTACTCCAAAACCTAACAAATGCCCCGATTATTGGCCGATAATGGGTGGTGGTTTACAAACATGCCTTGGTCCAGATGCTTTATGTCCTGGCAAACAAAAATGCTGTGAAGCTCCTTCTATGAACCACTTCAATTTAGAACATTCAGCTGTAAGTTATTGTGTTGAACCATGTGAAGATATATCGAAGTGTACTCTACAATGTCAACATGGATTGGTGATTGATGGTGGTTGTCGTCTGTGCCGATGTGCTCCTGATCCTTGTGAAAAAATAAAATGTGCTCCAAATGAAGAATGCCGATTACTTCCAACACCATGTGCTTATTATCCAGGACGACCACCATGTGCTATGATGCCTGTATGCATGAAAAAAAATTGATCACATTATTTACACTACAAGCTGATCTATTTCATTGAGTTATGATTTTCAAAATATAATAAACATCTGAAATCAATCTTATTACGATATATCACGTGCTAGTATAAATAAGTTCTATCATGAAAAGCAGCTGTTAGCTGTTACTTTTCATCATGAGTGGCGTACCAGCATTACCAGAGATAATAATCACTTTCCAAAAATGTCCACACCTTCTATGTATACTACAGTAAGACTATCCAATCCAGCTGATACATATTTCATAAGGTTCTAGTTCATGTAAGAGCACTGATTCGTAGTCTCATGATTTCGTGTATCGGGATCCTGATGAATGCACTTCTCTTCACAAAAATATATATCAATATGTCCGACACTGCGATTATCTAAGCAACAAATAATCAACATTTTGATTATATTGGATACTTTCTTGTCGGATTTGATGATCTACAAACTTGAACATTGACTTGAGAATAATAAAGTAATTGTAAATCGGTTCTCGTCTCTCTAAGACTGATTATGTGGTGCTTTAATACATTGATTAAAAAAGAATTGAAGTCTGACTAAAAAATATTTAATGGTTGGAATGCAATAACTGATCTTCTTTGCTGTTTGGTCAGCAATAAAAATGGGCTTACCATTCGACATATGTGTCGCTTGTTTTTGTTTTCTGTCTGATAAAGCTTACAATTTAATTGATAAAAATTATCTAAAAAAACTAATTTAGTTATTACTTCATAAGCAAAGAGGGCATCATCTAGCTACCAAAATTAATTGGTTAAATAAAAAATCTGAAAGACAGTATCTCTGTCTTACCAACTGATTGTTGCTTCTGTCATTGGTTTTTAAAAGAATAATTATTTTAATTTTACACAACTACTTTCATGATTATCAAGGCGAAAACACAGTGATCAGAGAACAGACACTATTTACAAAAGCTTGAATTTTTGCTGAGTTGTTTTGAGTAAATCAATTTTTTCATAACAATCGTTAAACTTATTTAAAAGTCTTAATTTATTGTTAGGTGAGTTAAAACGCAAGTGTTCAAATCTCATGCTATTGAGAAAAATTAAATTGAAGAAAAAAAAAGCTTTTGCTGCCAGATTGCTGACTATTCGAGACAGCAGGAAACAAAATGAACCCGTTTAAAATTTTATTGATTATACTAACAAGTTGAGCTTGCGCTACCCATGCTTTTCATCTGAAACTTTTCTCCTTTTCCTTTGTAGTTCTGACTAAACAAGTGTATCTAGAAAAATTTTCCAAACCTTCATATTTCGAGAAAAATCTCAATTGATCATTTTCTCAAAATTTTTTTTTCTAAATCAAGCAACCAACAGTATATTTGTTCAAGTCATTCGAGATCAAAATCTTCTTGTTTTTTCTTTCAATAACTTTCAATATTGCGTATAATGAATACAGAAGCTTTGTTTTTTCAATTTATATTTGAATACATTAGAAAAATGGATATCTGACATGATATTAATTAACGATTAAACAAGTTTTGAGACAAGATACTGTATACTTCAACAATAAAAGCTCAAGAACAAGCATCCTAATTGTCATTTTCTGTGCATTATAGGCTACTCGTTTTTTTAATCACAACTTTAATATGTGATTGATATGCATCTCTATTCATTTGAAAAGAACTAGAAAAAACACTTCATTGGTTTTTTTACTATGATCAAAATTAGACGGTGGACTATGAATAGCACTACGAAAAACAATTGAAATGGGCCGGTTTTCTTGGCTAATGATAGAAGTTTAATTGAAGCTTTTTCTTTTTCATATCAATACTGTTAACAAATACTATCGTTAAGTACTACTGTGAAGCTCATTAAACAAACATTTCGTTTCTTTAAAGAAGAAAAATACATATATAGCACTATTCAAGATCATTTCCGATTTTCTCATAGAAGAATAACAACAAGAAATCAAAATCAACATTTCAAAATTAGTTACTTTAAAAGTTAATGCGTCGCATTATTTTCAGTTTCTTAAGCACGAAATATTGGTTTTGCAACGAAGTTATCAATTTAGTACTCAAAATATTTCAATTATATTTTGTAAGTATCAAACACAAAATTCAATATTTAAACTAACTACTGTTAAATATTTACACAATGTTATAATATCATTCATAAAATTAGTTTTGATCTCGTAATTTTATTCTCTTTGGGAATAACTTAGTATTCTCTTGAAGAACTACATATATATTTTTCGTATATGATAGAAGAAAAATTTTCTTTAATAAGCTAAACAATCGTACTTGATAATAGTATTTATTTGCATTATTCGTATGAGAAAAACACTTTGAATAAATTTCTATCAGTAATTGAAAATTCAACTCATTTGAACGCAATTGTAACGGAGACATCTTAATTATTTATCGTAATGTTATTTTTGATCAACTCTATCAATGAATAGATGGTAAAGAATAATCACGTCATGCCATATGAAAAACATAAGTCACTTTTTAATTAATACTAATTAGAAAGTTTGTGCTGATATTGATAATAGACTGTGACCTAGTCTTTATAATAATCGATAATCCATACTAGTTATAAATTTAATTTTGGATTAAAATGACTGACCCACTGTTCCCTCTCGATGAGTAGGGTGCGAGCGTAGAAAAAATTCAAACTCAAAGTCATAGCCGCACTCATACTTTTTCTTTTTTCAAATAATCAGTGCAAAGTAAATACTCACAGGAGAGAGAAACATTAATCGAAATATATATTTTTTATTCATTGAATGGACAGTAAATTATCAACAGCGAAAATTATATTTTTTTCGAGAAAAAACTTAATTAAAACTGAAAGATGCTCAATTAACCGTGAGTGATGGAAACCCTCTGATCTATCCCTTATAATCATGGATAAATGATAAAATAAATTGAAATTTGATATCAAACTGAATGATCTATTGCTCTCTCTCTATTAGCATCCATTTTTTTTTCTTTTACTGATAAGAAGCAATAATAAGACACACTCAACAAGTCAAGTATCTAAAACAATTTTATATTTACAAATATAATGTGGTCATGCATCTGCCATTGTTTTTTGCTTTTGCTTTTATGTAATCAACAAGCAAAAACTCAACAAATTCCATTCGATACTATTGTAAGTTTTGGTGATTCAAGTACTGATACAGGAAATGTTTATAATTTAACGCATCATACATGGCCTATTGTACCTCCGTATTTTAAAGGTCGATTTTCAAATGGTCCTGTTTGGATAGAGAAAATAGGTATATCGAATATAAAAAATTATGCATACGGCGGTGCAACGACTGATAATGATTTTATTCAAGGTTATACAGCATCAGATACAATACCTGTACCTGGTGTTCGTCAACAAATTGAAATCTACTTAAATCAAACTAATATAACTACTGTGAATTCTATACGTACACTTTATGTAATTCGAGCTGGTGGTAATGATTATTATTTCAATAAAACGATTAGTCCATCAAGAGTTGTTGATAGTATTTTAAATTGTGTGAAAGATTTACTTAAGATTGGTGCTAAACATATTCTTATTATGAATCAATCACCTACTCAAACGATGCCATTCATTCAAACTCACGAACAAATTGTTTACTATACAAGTCGTACTATTTATCATAACAATAATCTTTCGGCTGGTATTACCAAACTTGATTATAATCATAAACAAGTTACTTTATATTTATTTGATGTTTATTCATTCATTTTGAAAATTATTAATAATCATGAGAATTATTCTTTGAACATAAAAGATCATTGTTGGAATGTATTAAATGGTAATGTGACTATTTTATGTTCAAATCCAGAATCATATGTTTATATTGATCAATATCATTTTACAGCACGAATACATGAACTCATTGGTGATGCTGTACGTCAATTTCTTTTAACTTCGTCTGGAATCACTATATCTTCTTATTCTATTAGTATCATTTTATGTATGCAATTTTTTTTAATATTCTATTATCACGAAAAATCGTATTTCTTATTTTCCATTTGAAATGTAAAGTTTTCATTTTATATGATTTCTTTTTTAGTCCATTACATAGTCTCCTTTGAATAGAACAATTGTTTTATGCAACTTGCTCACTTTTTTCGAAGGGCAATAGTAAGTATAAGTTTTAAGTTCAAGTTTTCTTTTTCTTTTGATATAAATTCATTTTTTGGAAATGTTGCAAAACGTTTATCTCACAGGATATAAATGATATTACAATAAACAGAAACATTGGTAATGATCCTTGTTTTACTGTAAAAATAAATTACTTATTGCTTTATATTCTCAGTTGAAAAACGAAGACTCATATAAGTTTTATTCAATAATAACTTAGTTATAAAAACAATACGTTGTTATTTTGAATTTGAACGAGACATTTCATCCTCAATAATTTGCTTTCAATAAAAGAATGACAAGTAACTTTGAAAGCTTGAGAATCTTAATAGGTATTTTCAGTTCTATATTATGACATGGCACAAATTAATTGGATTTTTTAGTTAGTTTCATCACGATAGATTACGTTGCATTTATTTTGCTTTTAATACTCGTTTATAAATGTTTTTCTATGCTTGTTTATCGTTATTTTACTCTACACTTATGATAAGACGTAAACAAGAATTGTGTTGATTGCGATTAGTTTATACACAAAGTAACTAAAGTAAAACCACCTTGTATTATATTACCGATTGCGAGATACAAATACTAAGATCAAGGTTAATAACAAGTTTTATTAATTCGAGAGAACGAAAACAGCTAACAAGTTAGATGAAACAAACGAACACGGGTTAATCCCATTTTTACAAAGTAAAGCATGTATATATACGTGTATATCGTGATGATTCATACAACGAAGTCAAAAAACAGAAGAAAAACAAAAGAAATATTGTAATAAAAATATTGGTATACACGACATTAGGGTAGTCACATATGATAGAACTAGATTATACGAATATGCTGTCTTCAGATGGAAGGCTTCCTCGCTATGCAAATACTTGAGAGTCGAGC